AAAACTCCAGCAGCACTGCTGTGTCTGATCCACTCGTACCAGCACAAGACACACCAACAAACCACCACATCAGTGTCACTCAGGGGGCTAACAAAGTATGCAGAGAAACAGATGGACTATAGTCTGTAATTGTAGAACGCACCTATATAGTAAGTGGAGCTGATAAAATGGACAATGAGCATAGAAACAAGGAGGTGGTAATAATGTTATGCCTGATTGGTGTATGTTCTTGTTCAGGCATCAAGAAACATATTCCTGTTTAATACCACAGTTGTTTTATACCAAGTTCTTTCTACTTTTTGACATATTATTTAGCATTTTTGGCACCTTATACTTTTGTATTGACAGAGGGACTCTCCTTTATGAAATACTGTAATTCACGGACAGTATGCCTTGCCACATTTTAGGGGAATTAGTAGATGTGTATTCATGTTGTAGATTTTCTCTCTTTTCCGCATGTTTTAGCTGCAATTTTTGATTACACTGTTTACACTTTGACATGAGGTATATTTAAAACCTAAAGAAATAATTTGGAAAATTTTTGGAACAGCCGTGACCTATTAATAACATTTTTTTGCATCTGAACTGAAATCCAGAGAATTCACATTACTTGCTGGACCTTAATATCTTCTTTTACAGATGATAAATAGGCTGTTGTTTATCAATGGTTTAACAGTATGAGGAAAAATACAGTTGTATTTAGATTTTGTGTGAAATAAAATCACCTCTTAGACTAACTTGCTTGGCTAGCTTCACAGTAATGCTTTCTCTTCCACTTTTCCATACAACATTTTAATTTGACATGCAGTTCATGGATTACAGTTTAAAATCTACTGTCACATTGAGGGAAGATAACCAATACTTGATGTCACAAGTTACAGAACATGTCACTTTTTATGATTACCACGTACATGGAGGAAACAATAACTGCTGAAATGCATGCATGGACTTGGCAATACCTTATCTGTCATTATCACATATGCAATTGAGAGACAATAACTTTTAAGTAACAGTATATTTTACGCTGTAACTCCACACGTACCATATAAGCAATATCTAACGGGCACATAAAATTATCCATTATGCATAACAGTAAACACATTAGAATTACAAGACAAAGATCAAACCATTCTCCAGAACTCCTAGAGCCCAAACACTACAAAAAGATAGTGTAGTAATTTCCTTATACGGAATAGGAATTGTTGTTTTAAGCTAGTCATGACATTTCTGTGGTCACTGTAAATATAATCTTAAATAGCTGCACAACTGTTGAATTCAAAACCTGTAAATATTACATGAATCCGTATCGACTAGTCAGGGTTTTTTAATCACAGACCCCAAGGAGCTTATTTTGATACGTTGAAAAATAAGACTGTGAAAGTGTCCCATTCAAATATGAGCTTCTTACATTCGAGATGTTTAACTGTCATAATAGATTTGTGCATAAGAGTAATGCGTCCATACATAGTCCTCACAGCTCTTGTCACTCAAACCTTATTGTCATATGACACTAAAGTCTGATAGAGGCTCTCTCTACTTTGGTTCCCACTGACACTACTGTTATGGTCACTGTCTCGATGCCCTGAAGGCCCACCTTTGAGCTGTTCCACGTAATCACAGTTCTGATGAAGAAACAAGACATGGTCAAGATGCTTAGGCCCGAGCATGGCTCTCCTGTGGGCCAAAGCAGATTCCCTTGGGGCAAAAGCCCGGTCGGCAGGGATAGCAGTAGCTGGAATTGCGAGATATTTTCGCGCAAGTCGGGCCACAGCTGGGAAGCGGTGCTCCTTGTTGCGCCACCAGTGGAGAGGCGACAGGCTGCGTTTGCACAGCGGTTCTGCTATATAATTCTCCAGCTGTTGGTGGATCTCAGGCATCCGTTCAGTTGGATCCTCCCCTAGAAGAATATCATACATGGTTTGAGGAAAAGGACTCATTCGCATTCGGGCAGTGAGCTGCCGGTCACTTCTCAGTGGCGATGTTAGTCCAGCCACACTGGCTGTTCTTTTACGGCCACTGGTGGCTTTGGAAGGTGAACCCACAAGCACGTTCTCGTTGACCTGCTCTGGAGATGAGACGGTTGCAAAGTTCTCGTTCTGCTGCAGCTCAATGCTGTCACCTTCCTCTCCTGAGGCGCATGACTCAGGTGAATCCAAGGATGCCACTGTGGGGATAGGCAATGTGTCATCCAGTCCCAAAACTGCAGCTTCCCCTTCTGCTTCATTTCTTCTGACTTGCGAGCCTCTGTCTATTTCTTGGTCCACCTCCGCATCGTCTGTATAAGCCTGAACAGACAACAGTTCTTTCACCTTGTCATGCAGCTTGCTGCGGGCATGTGGACTGAGGAATCGCATCTCTTTGAATCTTGGGTCCAAGAATGAGGATAAGACAGCAGGACTTTCAAGCAGAGCTTCCTCGTCACTCAGCCTCCAGCGCTTCTCCATCCCAGCACGGATCCTTTCCATGACTCCTCTAACCACAGGGCAACTGCATTCAGCCATGTTCTGCCCCAGAAGTCGGGACACTCCTTGGAGGCATGGCATCAAGGCAGAAATTGCGGCATTGATGTCCTCACTAAGGAAGGATGCTGCGATGCGCACAGTCCTTAGCACCGGCACCAATTCATGTAACAAACGCCACTGATGGTCAGCCAAGTTAGATGCTGCCTTTTGCTCTTCCAGAACTGAGCTTACCACCCACTTGAGCTCCAGTAGGCTCTCGCACATGTCAATGGCTGTGGCCCAGCGGCCTGGGTCGTCCAGGACCAGCCGTGCTGCACCTTTGTTGGCAGCCTCAGCTTTCTGATTCAGAGCTGCTGCAGCATTCATGTCATGCTGGAAGTGTAGTACAATCCCACGGGCATCTGCAAGCGCCTGTCTCACAGTCTCTACATAAAGTCCTTCTTGGACGCATAGTTTGAGAGCCTCCCCTGCACAAAGAACTGGTTCCCAGCCCTCTGTAATGGACAGAACAGGAGCATGACTGGGTCCAGGAAATTCCTGTGGATATTCCTGATCGAGTGTTAAGTTGCTCTGCCTCCTGCCCTCAGCACCCCAGGATGTGTCATGAACAACACAAAACACATAATTCTCAGGAAGGTTGAATTCTGAAAGAACTGCTTTTAAGATATTTGCAAATTTATCAAGGCCGCGCTCAGCGGTGTTTCCTTTGAATTCTGGTATTGGCCGAGTCTCTAGAACACAGCGGGCCAGGCGCCAGTTGGAGTCAACAAAATGTGCGCTGACAGTGAGGTAGGACTGACCACTACCTTCAACCCCACAGCCTTCTACAGATCGCCAGTGTTCAGTGCAGAGGGCCAGACAGCGAGGAGCAAGGCCCGTTTGAAGATGGCGCTGAAGGCATTGTTTGAGAATATGATAGCGATGCCACAGAAGGCTGCCAAGCAAGGAAGGTGAGGGCACTGGATAATTAGGCTCAAGGCAGCTAAGCAACAGTCTGAATCCTCTCTCTTCAACCACTGATAGAGGCTGGAGGTCTCTAAACACCATCTCCAGGATCAGATCTGTTAAGACCCCGGCCCGTTTGTCACTGCAACCCCTTGTGCCACTGTTGTTGTTGCTGCCTCCACTGCTGATGAGTGTGCTGTTGATCTCATCTGTAGAAAATCCATATGTTATGTCCATGTCTTGGTTGGGGATGGCGTTAGCATTTGACGTGCCACCTCCTCCAGCAGAACTAGGGGGATATGTGGAGCAAGCATGTTTTGTTTCACCTCCCTCAGCTGATAGTTGCTCATGATGCTCCTCTTTAACAACAACAGGCACTATCGGCTGAAATGCACCTCCTGAAGCATCGGCTGCAGCACCGGATGTGGCAAATCTGCTATTAAGTAAATTGGACTGAACCATTTGTTGATGTAATGCTGAGGGATTATGGACATCCGCTGTGTTGGGAGGGGGAACCGCTCCATCGCGAATGCTGTGTTTGCGTCCCAGGTGTTCCCTCATTGAGGTGGTGCTGTTGTGAAAAGACAGCTGCCTCTTGCAGTGGTTACATTCAACTCTGTACATACTAAGTTGGGTGTAGTGGTCCCACACTTTGGACGTGCGGCGCTCAGAAAAAGGTAACATACGATCCATCCTTCTCCTCAGGTTTGGAGTGCCTAGATTACCAGGCCGCCTTCGAACTGGGAATTCCATGTGTGTGGCTTCGAACTGTGGTCTACCAGAAGAAAGAAAAAAATCATGTATAACAGTGTTTCTCTACACAGTCCTCGTGGCCCAGACAGTTCCATATTTTTGCTCTAACCAAATGTGTTGGGATCTGGGATGTGGAGGCCCCAAGAACTGGGTTAAGAAACATTAGTGTGTATTTACAGTCTTAGTATCCACATTTATTTTTCCAAACGTTCTGACACGAAAACACAACAGGAATGGTAATTATCACGTAATTAACTAAATGATGCAGAAAACATTCTTTAAAATGTGGAAACATTATTTAAAAACATATTTTATCGCAATTCAGTTCAGTTCACATGAATGTTCTTCCGGGCCGTAATGGTCAGCAACATCTCATTCACGTAATACCTTGCATGCCATGGTCACAAAGAGCACTCGTCCTCGCATCAAATCGCAGCACAGGCAGGTTACATTTGGATGCAATCACATTACTAACACCAAAAATAACGAGCATTAAAATAAATAATACCTTTACAACATCGCAGAAGTCCTAAACGGCCTCTTTTCACGTTTACGACCTCTACACTGGAAACGCTTTGCGCGGCGGCTGTTAGGACCGGAGTATAAATTAAGATCTGCGATAAAAACGGAGAATACCCCAAAATGGTTAAATCGTAGAAGCCGTGTGTAGTGTTCCTAATGCTGTTAATGAGCACTGGAAACAAGTTAATAAAATCCGAGCTACTGCTCCACACGTAAAGAAGAGATTTCCTTGAATGCATCCTCAGATCTTAACTGATATTCGGAACATATCGCTAAGTAGACGTGCTCTTTTGCGACGGTCCCTAGGACTGTGGCGTCGGCCAAGTGCCCTTCCTGCTTGTGTCCATAAAAACAAAGCAGATGCAGTTGATGTGAAGCGCGCTGCGCAGTAGCTTTAGCCGGGTACATTTAGCTTAAAAACGGTAACAGATCAGACACGTAACATGGACTATTCTGGAAAGGAGAAGGAAGCCATGGCTTTAATGGCTGAAGCTGACAAGAAAATGAGAACGTCAGGCTCATTCTTCGGAACGTTTTTTGGGTGAGTAGTTGGCCACTGGTTTGGTTCAAAGTAGCCCATGTCCCTGTGGCCAGCTGTAAAGCGTTCTTTAGTGAAGGCAGTGGTTCTACTTAGAAACATAAGTTCTGTAGAGAACCATTTCATGCTTAAAGTGTTCTTTGCATGTTGACATGGTTCTTCAGATTGATGGACAATGTTTTGTTTATTTTTTAAAATGTTGACGTTCTTCAGATTGATCAGATTTACAAAGAGGTTCTATATTGCACCATAATATGCTTAAATAGCTCTTGGCATGATGAAATGGTTCTCTATAGCACTAAAAAGGTTCTGTGTGAACCACATACAACCATCAATCTGAAGAACCATTCATTAAACGTGAAATGGTTCTGTATGGAACCTTTTTGGGCACTAAATAGGACCATTTCTTAAAGTTTTGTATAGAACCATATACAACATATTCTCATTCAATCTGAAGAACAAGTTCACTATGCAAAGAACCATTTAGGCATGAAATTGTTCTATATAGGACTCATGGTTGGAAATAGAACCATTACCTTTTCTGAAGAATCATTGATAGAGCCATCTTTTTTAAGAGTGTGGTCTTTTACAATACATTGGTAGATCTGTTAAATAATCACATAATAAACATGTAATTACAACCTTTGCAGTAGGACAAACAGTCATGATCAGGATACTACATTAGTGCATGGCTTTGTGGTCAGTTCAGGATGTTCATGCACAGTAAGGGCATATTAAATGAATCAACACCACTTTTTTAAATCTAGGAGCTCCTCTAAAGCAGAGGAGGCCTGTGACATGTACGCACGAGCTGCTAACATGTTCAAGATGGCAAAGAACTGGAGTGGTATGTCAGAAATGATTCACCCTCATAAAACGAATCTCTTTTTACCGGACAAAACTGAAATTATCTTCCTATTCGCCAGCTTCTTTTTCGAATTTCGAACTTCCACCTTAAATGGTACAGACTTCAAAAGGTAACTCTTGCACAATTCAAAGGGAAAGTCTAAAGGGTTTTCAGAATTTTCTAATTAAGTAGTTAACATGCCAACAAAATCATTGCATTGTTCTAGAGAAACTTGAAAGTCAGAATTGTTTACAGTGGTGGTGATAGGAACCAGACGTCTGAGAAGAGTAATGCGTCTAAAAGCTCCCTCACAGAAAGTACTTGAAATGGTTATGAATACACTGTGTGATGCCTGAGACATTGTTTTATAGTAGATGTAGTGGTTTTGGTCTAAAACATTTTAATCAATTTATTTTAATCCATTCATGGTGGAGGGATACATGAAGGGTAGTCTATGGCAAAATAGTCCCCAAAGAAACCTAGATTGATGATTGTTTTTCCATAATCGGTTTTACATTAAAAACTCAGAAGAAACATTTAGGTTTATTGGTGGTTTTGGAAAGTAAATAAAATGGCTATATTTGCATTGTAGATGCCTCGTTCCTATCAGCACCACTGTAAAGAAATCTGTGTCTGTAAGTTTCTCTACAATGAGTCATTACACATCACACAACTCTGAATGACTGTTCACATCTCAACTACTGAATTATACAGAACCTTTGAAAAATCGTTGGAATTCCCCTTTAAGGTGGAACAGAATATTCAGATGAGAGCTTGGTGAATAAGAAGTTTCCTTTCCAAAACTTAGTCCTTGCCTTATTGCCTGGTAACTTTCTTTCAGCCGCTGGAGATGCATTCTGCAAAGCAGCCAAGCTGCGATTGCAAATACAGAGCAAACACGATGCTGCCGTTAACTTTATCGATGCTGGCAATGCTTACAAAAAAGCAGATCCTCAAGGTAGTGTGTTTTAATTTTCTACACTGTAGTAATTGTAATGATTGTCTCTGTGAGCAGTACAATACTTTTATATAAATACCTTTCTCTATTTTAATGTTTCCACTTTGTGTATTTCCTCAGAGGCCATCAAGTGTCTCAGCAGGGCCATTGATATTTACACAGATATGGTGAGAAAATAATGTTCTATCATCTCATGATTTTTACTGGTAATTAACACATAATGGCACATATAGTATCTTCAGTAAGGAAAGACAACAATGTGGTCACTGTTTATCTTGCTGTGGTCTGACGCACTTCTTATCTGTTTTCACAGGGACGTTTCACCATTGCAGCAAAACACCACATCTCCATAGCTGAGATCTATGAATCTGACTTGGTGGACATTGATAAAGTGAGTGAGATCTATACTTTACTGTGAAAGCTCTTGTTAGTTATCTAAGTGGTACAACAGATGGCCAGTAGGGCCTGCCTCTGTTTATATGAAACATTGCTTTGTGATCCATTACATTTAAATACAGTGGCTGCTTATCTAATGACAGTATCTCTGTGGATATTCTCCTTTATTCAGTTTTTTGTTTTTTGATGTTTATAGGCAGTCGCCCATTACGAGCAGGCCGCAGATTATTACAAAGGCGAGGAGTCTACCAGGTATGTGTGCCTAAACATTTTGAAATTGTCAGGCTTGATACCTATAGGTTGGCAACAGTGCTGATGGGAACAAGGGTTAGGTTAAGGGTGGTCAGCCATTATTTCACTTGTGTTGAAAGCTCCTTGATTAAATGGAGCCCATCTGTTCATGAACATAGAATATTTTGTTATTGTATGTCAGGGGAATGTGATGAGTTAAAACTTCGTCCATGTTAAATTAAAGTAACAGAGTTGATGTGTTTAACCTGACAATCCTATTCATATTGAGGAAATTTGGACAAAATTATGGCAGGTAGCTAGTTTTAAATTTCACCATCCTCTTCATCAGATCAAAAGGTGCAGTTTATAGTGAGTTATCCTAATTTTATGTCTGTAATGATTTTTTTAAAAGACAATTACAGTAACAGGGATGACTGAGGATTTAGGGACTCAAAGAATTTATATCTGTTTACTTCTTGGTATATTCAAATACCACTGTTGAATTGAGTTCTTCATAGCAATTGAGCAATTGATAATTTAGTGCACTCAGAAGCAATAAGTTTTGATCAGATTTAAAATTCCATATTTATTCCATAAATTTCCCATCAGTGTAAATGAGCGACAAAATCAACAAACAACAAAATCAATAATCAGTGTGAATCACCTCCAAATGAAATTGCAAAATTTATTTTTGTTGCTTTCTGGCCTCAAATTGTGGAAGATTTTACCTTTATCATTAAAAAAAGTTATTTTTAAAGATACGCACAATAAATTATCGTGAAACTGTAGTAATAGTTAACTAATGTAAGGGATACAAACTGTCTAACTCCTTTTAACTAGAAAATGTTGATGTAATCATTTTCTTTCTCGCTGTAGTTCAGCCAACAAGTGCCTTCTTAAAGTGGCCACATATGCTGCGCAGCTGGAACAGTACCAGAAAGCTATTGAAATATATGAGCAGGTGATTACTTCAGTATTCAGAAAACATCATAAACAAATAATAATCAGCTCCTTTTGTCATTTCAGTGCAAGTAACCTCACTCAGTAGTTCTAAACTCCAACTTGTGAATGTGTTCAGATTGGAACGTACTCCATGGATAACACCTTGCTGAAGTATGGAGCTAAGGATCACTTCTTCAAGGCAGCGCTATGTCACTTCTGTGTAGATATGCTGAATGCCAAGGTGATTATTATTCTTATTAACAATGTTGTCAGCAACTTCACAGACACATTTATAACGGTGTAACTCTCTCATTGTTTTATTCATCATTTATCATCTAGTTGGCCGTGCAGAGATATGAGGAAATGTTTCCTGCCTTCTCGGATGCCAGGGAGTGCAAACTTGTTAAGGTTAGTACGCAGATAAATCATAATGTAATTTTCTTGGATCGATATTGCTTAATGGGCCTGTATCATGGCAAAACAATTTTTCATCAGCTTAGTTAAAGTTTTACAACACATTGTTCACTCCCCAGTACATATAAACAAACTAAACTGCAAAAACAGACGGCTTTGAATTCACTGTTTGGAATGTCATAAAAAAAACGAACACTTTTACATACATCCAATATTTAGCCTACAGCAATTTATCTCCACCCATTCACACTGAAGTTATATGGAGTGCTCCAGTCTGGGTTTCTGTTTGAATGAGACACAATACAGAGCAGCTAGTCAGAGCAGAGGTAATTTACGTACATCGAGGCACACTAACAAAAACAGAATGTTTAATTCTAAAGAAAGGTTGTAAAATGGTCAAATTAATAGGACTGTTTTGGTAAATCAACCTATCCAAACGTTATAAGTGGAATACATGAAAAAAGTTTAGAATATGGGCCCTTTAAATCACAACCTGATACTTACATGATCGTATTGTTACACAAATTATAATATGAAATACTGAAAAATGTTTCTTAGCTTTAAATGTGTGCTCTGAGGCCACTATGAATTGAAAGTGTGATTATTCCATAAGTAAACATGTGATTAAGCTTTTTCACATTACTCTGTTTCACAGAAACTTCTTAATGCATATGAGGAGCAGGATGTTGATGCGTTTACAGATGCTGTAAGTACACAATACAGTATGTTTTTCAATTTTTGGAGGCAGGTAGCTCAAGAATGACAGTACGCAAACAACAGACGTTTCTGTCTGTTTAAAAAGGGAAAAAAGTCTGAATACTTTGGGTTTATATTGATGGAAACTCCTATTGTTTGTTAATTCACTGCTCCTCTGGATCGCCCCTAGAATATCACATAATTAAAAGTTATGACCAGAATATTGCTAATGAAAAAACACAATTATCTTGCCCCACTTTAGGTGAAGGAGTTTGACTCCATCACAAGGCTGGACCAGTGGCAGACCAGCATGTTACTGAGAATTAAAAAGACCATTCAGGAAGACGAGAACGACCTCCGCTAATATTCTATAAAGCCACGGTGCCCATCATTGGCTTCATCTCATGATTTCCTATGCACATGCACTCAACCTTATGATATTCCTCTCAGCCTTTGGTTTGTTTCATTTGTTCTAATGAAAGTTACAGTTGCCCGATTGTTTCTCTTTACACTTCAGATCTGGTTGTCAATGCAAAGGTCTTTAATTGCAAAGAACACTGTGAAGTTGTGTAGAATAGCACTGGTTCATATTTATTGTATAAATGCTTATCTCCTTTATAATTTCTCTAAATTTACTTCCCAATACTACTACTTCTGCATAACATTTACCACTGATTAATGTGAAATATGTAAATGAACCTGTACAATTTTGTACCTTTTTTTGTTTTCCTGCCAAAAACTGAAATGGCACTAATTGCCGTTTTCCTCTTTTCCTCTGTTGAGGAAATTGGCTTTCATTTAATTTTATTCGTAAATTTAAAGAATCAGTACAAACAACTATATTAGTGATCAACACTTCTACAGGATTACAGTCAAATTAAAGAATTAACACTGGTGTAAGTTGTTTTAGGACACATTCCACAAAGGTCATAATGTACTTCTCTGTCTGCAGACTGTGAACGAAGGATGTGGGTAAGCTCTTTATAGTTCATAGCATTTTTGAGAACTGAAGTTTTTTGAAGTCGAACAAACTTCTTTAAACAGATGTTATGCTAGTTTTGTGCAATTCATTTTATTTATTTGTTGGTCTGTTAATTAGAGGTTGGCTAATAATGCCAAAAACAGGGAACAGAGTTATGTTCATAGCCTAGAAGTGACCAAAACTGATCTTTATTTATTCAACATTTGCAATCTTTACTTTGCAATCTATTATTTAATGTTTTGATTGTCTCAGCTTCAAAGGAGTATTCAGATGTTTACGTAACTGAGTTATTTGACTCTATTACACATCATGTTTAGTTGGTCAAGGTTTGCAAGTTTTAGAACTTAAACACTTAGAAGTATTGATTCATTCCTGTTTTCTTTTTGTGATGTGGAGGGAACCTTCCTCATGAACTGGACTGAGGCAGTGTTTGCATTGGAATTGTACTGTAATCAAGGCTAGCAGCATAATTGAGCTTGGAATGTAATGGCATGATGATCTTCAAATATTGCACCCAGGTCCCCAAAGCAAACCCTGCTCCCTGCTTTGAAAGTTTTCTGATAAATGTTCTGATACCCTGGGGCATGTGTTTACTCCTCTCTTCTGTTAATGCTAGACTGTTTCAAAGGTAAATAAATCATTTGACTCAGCCCTCTGTTTCAGAATGACTTTACTCAAATAAAATGCTTCCATGATCATAAAACTCTTTGACATAACCATCAAAATATCTCAGTACAGGCCTTCTCACTGAAACACAAAAATGTAGTGAACTTATTACACAACTTGTACTCCATTTCAGTCCAATGCGTACCAGTCTCTTCCATTCAGTCATCCTCCTCCTCCTCCTCTTCCTCGGCCTCCAGGCCTTCGTTCTCCTCCTGAGCCGCCTGTTGCTCTTCCAAAGCTGCCTTCAGAGCCTGTTCCTCCTCCAGGCTGGGATCCAGAGCCTCTGTAATCTCAGGTCCACTGGGGTACTCTAGCTGGGGTTGGGGCGGAAGAGGAGGAGTGTATGGTTCCCCCAAGAACTTCAGCCCCCAGCCAATGTATATGTTCTCAAACTTCCTGTTGATCAATAGAAAGTAGGGTGGGTGATATGCTCAATTTTCAATGAAACATAGTCACTCAGTGTTCTTTAAGTACTGATGACATCCATGATATGCTCAGAAAAGCATACTGTGACATTAAATTGAGCATTATTATCAGTGAAAATATCTTAAATGTGCATTATCGCTTTAAAAAAAAACATTTTTCGATCATAATTGTCATTGTTTAATCGCCAAATCCCTAACAGTGTGGATGTTTGAAATTGTTAAGATGAGGGCTCTTGTAAAAAGAGGTCTTACCTGCCGCAGGCGTAGGCATGGGCTCCAGGCCACAGGTTGGAGCGCGCATAAGCAACAGCATACTGAGGGATTAGGTGAGAAGATAATCTTATGCTCCAAGGAGGAGTGTTCTTAATCTCTGAAATACAGTAACAGATTCACGTCATATACAAGAACTGTCATAGTGTTTTAATTCCTCCATTAAAAAAAAAAATCATTATCATTGAGATGTAATTACACAGTATAGTAGGAATGCGAAATGCTGCATTGTAGAGAAGACAGACACTGATTTATTTACAGTTCATAGTGACAAAATAGCAGTTAAAACTGAAAATCTTATTATTAAACACTTTGGATATTCCTATTGGCAGGGCTGTGAACAATGCTAACATGGCAAACATCTCTACAATGGCACATTTCAGAACGAACCACTCAGAGTGACTTTGTTTGCATCTTAATGCCTTAATTGTGCAGACAATGTGAAAAATCAATCCCTTTTCATCCAAAAGGCCAACATGGCTAACAATTAATGAAAGCAAGTGAGGACCAGTTAGCATAGTATCATTTGCTATATATACACTTGATATTACCATCACTGGCCCCCACACACTTTTATTCATTATTAACAATGTTCTGAGTGAAATACTCTTCTAAAGGCATTATCTTTTTTCCTCAACCAACCTGACTCAAATGTCACATGGAACTTGCTTCATCAATTAAATCTGGTGTTTTTTTCTGTGGTTGTAAACGTATTCAAGCTCGCCTAACCTCTGAATCTCTGTCCTGCAGAACTGAGTTCCCGTGCTAATCTAACACAGCTGCCTGTGATCCTTAAAGGCTTTAACTGGTTAAATTAGGTGTATTCTTTCTGCAATAAAACCAAGCTCAGCAGGACAGCAGATCTCAAAGAGAAAGAACAGTAGCACTAGCCCTTTGTGGACCCTCTGCCGGGACATCAACTGACCTGCGTCCTCAGACAGTGGCGTAAGAAGCGGAGGCCCAACCTCAGGCTCGGGTTCATCTGGCTGTTCCTCCTTCTCTTCTTCTTCAGCTTCTTCTTCAAAGTCCTCCTCAGTCTTTTCAGCCAGGTTGACCCACACACAACGACCCTGACACACACACACACACACACACAGGAGGGGGGAGAATTAATCAAAAATACTGGTTCACTTTTTTCTGTTTATTTAAATATCATACAGTGATGTAATGATATTATACAGTGGAGTTGTACATCATTAGTATGGATAAAAGTTTTGAATCCACACTTTCAGTAGAATTACTCTAATGGTTTCAGTGAACTGCAAGTAACAAATAATTACACAAAATGAATGAAGAGGTGTTTCAATGCTATTAAAAAAGATCTAGGAAGAGGGGTGCCCAGTCCTGGTCCTAGAGATCTACCACCCTATAGAGTTTAGCTCCAACTCCAATCTTCTACAGCTGATCCAAGTAACGAAGGCCTTCAGGAGTAGCTGAATATTAGAGCCAGGTGTGCTGGATGTGAACTCACCAGAGTGGTAGATCTCCAGGACAAAGATTTGGTTCCGCTGTCTATGAGGGTCAATTAAATACCTTTCAGATTTTCTTCCCTGTGTGAGTTACCTGTTTGTTGATGTGCTGGACATGGTGGACCCACGCAGACAGTGACTCAGCCATTTCCTGCACAGGGATGCCCTCGAAGTTGGGGTTTTCAACAAAGCTGTCTCGCCCTCCCTCCTCTTCTTCTCCTTCCTCTTCATCAAACTGGTAGAAGCCCAGTGGACTGACCTGAGTGCCAGCTGAGATGCGAGCGATTTGAGCTCTCAGGTAGTTGGCCTCGTTGCCTGGAAACGGCGGGTAGCTGATGATGGGGGCATCCAGCCGACCGGTGAAGAGCTTGCGGATCTGCCGTGCCACCGTGATCTGAGCAGGGGTAACATCAGGAAGACGCACCCAGGGCAGGCCAGGCTCTCGGCACACAAAGTAAGTGAACTTATTGGTACCAGAACCACGAGGCTCTTTGGGCACTGTAGGGGGAGGCTTGTAGGTCGACTTTGGGAGTGGATCAACCTAAAATAAATGGCATCACAACAGCAGGGTGAGTTTTTTTTGAGCCGAGATGTCTTAAAGCAAAAGTTCAGGGAAATATTTGCACAATTTTACCCTTACCAAAAATGTAGATGATCAAAAAAGATATGTTTGGTATCTGAAATGGCTTCTTTAGTTTTGCACTATGAGCATAATCTAGATAACTCATATGGAATGGAAGCTCACATCCTCCAACTAGTAAGATGTAGCTGCTTGAATTATACACTGTGAGAGGTTGTTAAGTAATTTCAAATAAACTTGCTCATGTTGTTTCTAACATTGTATGACACTCTGTTGTCTATAAAAATGGACTTAAAGGTATGTTGTTCAGCTAAAACAGCAGCAGTGATCTTAAAGCATGAATTTTATCTGATGATCACTTCTGTCTTTTTTTAAAGATAGATTAGGGGTGGGCATGTGGAAAAATATTTTACCATACTTCAAAGAAATGTTCACAACACACAGTATGTCTTATTATTTAATGTTCTGACATTGGATATTTTGGAAGAGGCAAAAAGAAACAGCAGTGCCAGATTTAAAAAATACTATCAAATTTAGGATTTTTGACGTTTCATAATCTGCGCTGGTCACATTCTTGGCTGGAGATTCCCCTCCCTGCCTGCAGAGGTCACTCTCTCGGGAGTTTTAATGACTGACTGCTCACCTCATATATAGCTTATTTTTTGGCTAGGGGCTCTGCAAAGTCTTGCCAGATTATATTCTGCAATTCTAAGCATTACTGCTTATTGTTCTTTGTGTTTTTAATGTTCTCTGACCTTCTGCTTGTCTATTGGCTTTTTTCTGATTTTGGATCTCATCTTTGTTTTTGGTTGCCTGTAATGTTTTTGTATTACAGCGCTGCACTAAATCCAGTTCAACAGGACTAATTTTCTGTCTTTATAATAAAACATACAGCTGGTTTGATGTTATCCACAATATGCAATATAACAATAAATATTGTTGTATTACTCAGCCCTAGATAACAATGTTCAGAAACCTCATATGCAAATCTTAGAGATTTATAATCAGTTTGAGATTACTAAACAACAAAGTCTGAAGCAAGTGTGTGATGACCAAGACACACGGTTTGTACAATGTATATAGGCTTTAATTACTTGTTAGCTCCTTTAGCCTTATAAGTCCAGTGCAAAACTAAAGAGGCAAAGTTCAGACACCAAACATGCCCTGGCCTGTCTACATTTGGGGTAAGGAGAGATTATGTTAATTAAATATTTTAATTAGGTAATTAGTTCACAACAATTAAACTGAATGATTGAGAAGTCAGAAACAGGTGTGGTCAAGAACCCACCTCTTCCACAACTTCTTCCTCATCCTTCTCTCGAGCCTCTCCTTCTTTCTCTTCATCTTCATGCGTCTCCTCAGTCCCTCCTTCTTCTTCTTCTTCTTCTGCACCATCTCTGTATTCTACTTCAGCCACTATGTAATTTGTCTCAGCGCCTAGGATCTTGCCCCAGAATCGGCAGCGCTGGAGGGGATGTGTGTCCACCAGCTGTTTCAAGGCCAGAAAGATCCTCTGTGTCTCCTCCCGGCCCAAACCCACCCCGACTTGCTCGAAGAAGAAACTCTGCTCGGCTAGATTAGGCAGAGGTGTTTCTACCTAGAAGAAATTGAAAAAAACATCAGTCAGTCTGAATATGCACCACTGTTCAAAAGTTTGAAATGTTCAGTTTAGAAAACCACTAAAAACAACCAATTTTGCTGCATATGTGATACAGTGATGCATATGTGATATGAACTGTATATGTAGTTTATAGGTATGAGTAGAAACAAAAAAAAAGTGAGTCTTCTCACTAGCCCCTCTTCTTGCTCGTCCCCTGCCCCCTGTGAAAACAGGCCTTTCTGTTGTTGGGCCAGTGTGAGGGCTGCAGTAGGCTCCAAGCTGGAGCGCAGGGTGCTCTGACTGTCCTGCAGCTGACTGCGCTTCACCTCCAGGCTCAGATCTTCAAACACATCAGCTGCATTGTCTGGGCGCTCATCCATTACTTTGATGAGCACACGAGTCAGGTGGTCATAGCTGAAGAAGACAGCAAGTATGATATTTGGTGAAAGGGCCTGGTCACCTTAGAAACACTCTCTGGCCACTTCATGGTCATGGCTGACCTTTCTGGTGGACAGTTAGAGACACATAATGCTTGGTTTACAAGAGCTGTTCTTGGTTGCATTATTTTCAGGTGGTGGACCACTCTCAACCTAGCAGTGACACTGACATGTAAAAACCCACTCGTACCAGCACCACACACACTACCATGCCAATACCATATAAGCGCTCAGAATGGTCCACCACCCAAATAATATATCTAGTCAGCAGCAGTCCTGTGGTCAGAAACAGACCAAGGATGAATGAGGTAGAAGTGTATGTCAACTACAAAGTGTAATTATACATTTAGGTGGGCCTCATAAAGTGGCCAGTGAAAGGAAGTACAAGGTAGGAGTTTGAAGTGGATGGTGAGCGTAGTTCTGACATGTTAGTTAAAGTTACCATTGGCTACTTATGCATTTTCTGAAGGAAAAACAGCATAATAGTAGTAAAGCATAATTAATAGTAAAGAAAGAAAGAAGGAAATAAACAGATGAAAAATACATTAAATAGGTGAAAAGCAAGTAGCCTAGTATGATGTTTAGAAAGCTTCAGGTAAGTTGGAGTTTAAAGTGTGGAAAAACTGAAATACATGACTACACTTTTAAAAAAGATGGTTCTTCAAGGGTTCTTTAGTAAAAACAATGGTTCTATGAACACTCAAATAACCACTTGCATGCTTAAATGGTTCTTTGGTTTTTCAGACTGATAGGGAATGTGTTGTATATGTGTTTTATATGGTTTGAAAATGATTCTATATAGCACCAAATAGGGTTCTCATATTGTTAACTACAATGTCAAGCTTGCAACCATACAAGAACCCTTTTGGTGCTCATGCTTAAATGATTTCTTGGCATGGTGGCATCGTTCTTCAGATTGATGGAAAATGTGTTGTAGCTGTATGTTTCTACATAGAACCTTTTCGAAAATGATTCTATAGAGGTATATACAACACACTAGTATGAAGAACCATTTGACAATGCAAAGAACCATTCAAGCTGACGTGGGTCCAGTGGCAGAAGAGAATGAAAGCCCAAGAGCACAGGTCTTGCTGCGTGTATCCACAGAAAGTCTGAACAGACTAAGTTAGCTAGGTTATGTTTCTTAAGCGGTTCGACCTGTTTTATTCGCAAGACAATGTTAGAAGAAGAAGAAAAAGAACTGGGGTAAAAATGCAGCGTTCGCCTCGTAGTTCAATCCAGCAGCAGCCTTAAAAGAGAAGGGCTGGAGCTTCAGCGACATTGAAGTGAGGAAAAACTCACAGACTGAGGTTTGTTTTGGTGCTTCTTTTTAGCAGGAAAGCCTTGAAGTTCAGTGCAGCCAGCTGGCTTTGGTCTTGCTCGTTCGCCACTCCTTCGAGAGATTCCATTTCTGCGGTGCGTTTAGGTCAAATAAAATAAAAGAAGCAAGTTTTGAGTGCTAATGAAACGTTTTATTATGTTTATTTAGTTGTTCACTGTTAACCCATCGAGCTAACACTAAACCCATTGATTTCTAAAACGCTGCCTGCCGACGCTGTTACTAGCCAAACAAAAACCAGTTGCCATGGAGCTTGGAGCTCATGAATCTGATTGGCTGCGCTGGAGTAAGCTTTGCTCGCGGGCCTTGTGGAGGTAAACGGAGGTTTTGTTATACTTTTTTCTCTTTGCACTACTGTATTTTTATTTATTTACTGGTTCATCCTTTTTCATGTTTCTTTTTCTTGGCATCTTCTTGAAGGAGAGACGCGTCCAGAGACGGGAACTGTAATAATAAGTATGTTTTTGGTGGCTCGTTTGTTTCTCTCTTGTACATGTTGTGCAAAAAGCTTCGTGTCCGTATACACCTCTACAGACAAATCATCTAACTTTGGTTTAGTTTGCAGTGATCGGGTCATTGTTGTGGCAGATGGTGTCCCACAAATTTGAAGCCTTGAAAGGAGTTCAAAGTAAGAATAAACCGAAGGAAGTTAATGTCTGTATATTCTTTGTTCTATTTCTAAATGAACCAAAAAAGATAATTCAATTTTATAATTTTAGTGATTTGTGGTCATGTAGTGCATAAAAAACAGCAATGACCTCACAGATGCTTAAGTGTTATTTTCATTCTAAAAAATAATTTTGATGTTTATTTTTTAGTTGAAATATAAATGGTTATGTTCACAGCCTAAAAGTGACCCAACAATTATTAATTCAACAGTTCTGACACTTTGCAATCTATTATTTAATGTTTGACTGCCTCAGTTTTAAAGGAGTATTCTGATGTTTACGTAACTGAATTTATTACATATTGTGTTTAGTTTAGTGCTGGTATTTGATCCTGGTCAAGGTTTACTAGTTTTAGAACTTAAACACTTACAAGTATTGATTCATCCTGTTTTCTTTTTGTGATGTGGAGGGAATTTTTCTCTTGAACTGGACTTAGGCAATGTTCGCATTTGAATTGTACTGTAATCAAGGCTAGTAGCATAACTAAGCATGGGATGTAATGACATGATCTTCAAATACTGCACCCAGGTCCCCAAACCAAACCCTGCTCCCTACTTTGAAAGTTTTCTGATAAATGTTCTGATACCCTGGGGCATGTGTTTACTCCTCTCTTCTGTTAATGCTAGACTGTTTCAAAGAAAAATAAATCATTTGACTCAGCCCTCTGTTTCAGAATGACTTTACTCAAATAAAATGCTTCCATGATCATAAAACTCTTTGGCATAACCTTCAAAATATCTCAGTACAGGCCTTCTCACTGAAACACAAAAATGTAGTGAACTTATTACACAGTTTGTACTCCATTTCAGTCCAATGCGTACCAGTCTCTTCCATTCAGTCATCCTCCTCCTCCTCTTCCTCGGCCTCCAGGCCTTCGTTCTCCTCCCGAGTCGCCTGTTGCTCTTCCAGAGCTGCCTTCAGAGCCTGTTCCTCCTCCAGGCTGGGATCCAGAGCCTCTGTAATCTCGGGTCCACTGGGGTACTCTAGCTGGGGTTGGGGCGGAAGAGATGGAGTGAACATTTACCCCAAGAACTTCAGCCCCCAGCCAATGTGTATGTTCTCAAACGTCCTGTTGATCAATAGAAAGTAGGCTGGGTGATATAACCAAAAGCAAATCTTGTAATGATCTACAACTCCATTTCAAAAAATGTTTGGACGCTATGCAAAATGTAAAAAAATGCAATGATGTGTTGTGTTTGAACCCTATATGTAATTATATATGTGTACAAAGACAACATATCAAATGTTTAAATGGAGAAAGTTTATTGTGTTTTGAAAAATGTATGCCCATTTTGAATTTGATGCCAACATGTTTCAAAAAAAATTTGGGATGGGGGCAACAAAAGGCTGGTTAAGTTGTGCAAGGCTACACCTGGTAGTTGATTGGCAACAGGTCAGTAACATGATTGGGTATAAAAAGCGCATCCCAGAGAGGCTGAGTCTTTCAGAAGTAAAGATGAGGAGGGGTTCACCACTCTGTGAAAGACTCCATGATCAAATAGTGCACTGATTCAAGAACAACATTTCAAAGAACTTTTGCTTTTCATCATCTACGGTACATAATAACATCAAAAGATTCAGAGAATCTGGAGAAATCTCTGTATGCAAGGGACAAGGCCAAAAACTAATATTTGCTGGCCGTGATCTTTGGGCCCTCAGGCTGCACTGCACTAAAAACAGGCATGATTCTGTAGTGGAAATCACTGCATGGGCTCAGGAACACTTCTGAAAACCACTGTCTGTGAACACAGTGCATCACTGCATCCACAAATGCAAGTTAAAACTCTAAAACGGAAAGAAGAAACCATATATTAACAGAATCCAGAAATTCTGCCACCTTCTTGGGGCCTGAGCTCATTTAAAATGGACTGACAGGAAGTGGAAAAGTGTCGTATGGTCCGACAAATCAACATTTGAAGACCACTCAGCTTGTTATCAGTACACAGTTCAAAAGCCAGTGTTCATGATGGTATGGGTGTACATTAGTGCACATGGCATGGGTGACATGCACATCTGTGAAGGCACCATTAATGCTGAATGATATATACATGTTTTGGCAACATATGCTGCCATCCAGACGACATCTTTTTGAGGGAAGGCCTTGATTATTTCAGTAAGACAATGCCAAACCACATTCTACATGTATTACAACAGCATTGCTCCGTATTAAAAGAGTCCACGTGCTAAACTGGCCTGCCTGCTGTCCAGAACTGTCACCCACTGAAAACATTTGGTGCATTATGAAATGAAAAATACAACAAAGGTGACCCCGAACTCCTCAGTTCCCAAACGCTTAGAGTGTTGGTAAAAGAACAGCTGATAAAACACAGTGGTAAACACGCCCCTGTTTTTTGGAACGTGGTGTTGGCATCAAATTCAAAATGGGCATTTATTTTTCAAAAAACAGAATTTCTCAGTTTCAACATTTGATAAGTTGTCTTTGTAGTATTTTCCTTTAAAAATATGGTTTACATGATTTGCATATCATTGCATTCTATTTTTGTTTACATTCTGCACAGCGTCCCAACTTTTTTGGAAATGGGGCTGTATATTTTCCATGTCGTTATATATCAGTAATAGTAGGATTGGGTGATATGGCAAAAATATTATACCACAACACCTCAGGACATTTTCATGATCAAGATATGCGTCACAATATTTAGTTTTTTTCTGAGATTTAATACATTGGAGCAGATAAAGCAGAACCACAAAAATACTAGAATATGAAGAAATCAACAAGTACAATGATTTTCTATTCAATATTTTACAAACTACACCCTGCATTAAATCTAATTAAACAGGCGTAAATGTGCTCAATTTGCAATGAAACGTAGTCACTCAGTGTTCCTTAAGTACTGATGACATCCGAGATATGCTCAGATAAGCATTTTGTGACATACTTTATACTGATAACAAAAAAAATCATCACTCCTGAGTAATAATCCAGTCAGTGAAAGTGCCTCCCAATGCTCAGTTTTAAATCTAATTTCAAACTCAGTGGAAAATGCTTATTCTGGTGTTATACAGACTACATTTTTATTATCAAAATAGAACATTGAATAAGTGAAAGATGCACACTGTTGCCAACAATAGTGAAGCAGCAGCTGTTCAAAGTTCAACGCTGTTAATGCCAGATTGAGAAACAGAAAGGCATAATCATTTTAGTGAAAATTTCTTTCAATCATTATTGTCACTGTTTAAATCACCAAACCCTAACGACATGGAGCTTCAAATTTTAAAATTGTTGAGTGCTCTTGTAAAAAGAGAGGTCTTATCTGCCACAGGCATAGGCGTGGGCTCCAGGCCACAGGTTGGAGCGCGCATAAGCAACAGCATAATGAGGGATTAGGTGAGAGGATAATCTTATGCTCTAAAGTGGAGTGTTATTAATCTCTGAAATACAGTAACAGATTCATATCACTTAGAAAATGGCTGAAATGCCCTTCTAAAGCACTATTAACTTGACTCAAATATGTCACCTGGAACTTGCTTCATAAGTTACTGGTGTTTGTTTCTGTGGTTGGAACAAATGTATTCAAGCGTCCCCTGACCTCCGAAGTTCCAGCACTAATCTAACACAGCTGCTTGCGATACTTAAAGGCTGTAACTGGTTAAATTAGGTGTATTCTATCTGCAATAAAACTATGCCCTGCAGGACAGTAGATCTCAAAGAGAAAGAACAGGCACCTGTACCTTAGATGCACAATAATGTTATAGTTTCAGAAACAATGTCTTTGAGAGTTGTAATCTGTAACTACTTTGTTATTACTTAACAACTCAACACGGTTTAAAGCAAGTGTGTGATGACCGAGGTATGCAGTTTGCACAAAGATTATAGGCTTTAATTACCTGTTAGCATCTTTCGCCTTATAACTCCAGTGCAAAACTGAAGAAGCAAACTTCAGACACCAAACATGTCTTGGCCTGACTACATCTCGTGTAAGATTATGTTCATTATATTTTCATTAAACTGTGCCTTTAATTAGGTTATTAGTCCACAACAATTATAAGACAACACCTGAAACAGGTGTGACCAAGAACTCTTGAACAACTTCTTCCTCATCCTTCCCTTGAGTTTCTCCTTCTTTCTCTTCATCGTCATGCTTGTCCTCATCCCCTTCTTCTTCTGCTCCATCTCTGTATTCCACTTCATCCAAAATATCCAAAATGCCTTTGAAATGATATTTGAAAAGTGGTCATCAAATCTCAAGCCAGATAAGTTGACAAGAAATTACTATAAGATACAATACACTGTTTGTCATTTAATAACTTCTTGTAAACTGAAATATTCAATAGAAGATTAATTAACTGATACTCTAGTTTACAATACTTAAATCTACATAGTGTAAATTATGCTTGATTAAAATAATTATAAATGTGACTAATGCTTTCAAAATTTTGAACTGTTGTCTATATACAATTCATGCCCTCATGCAACAACCTGTTCAGTTAATGTCATTTAAGTACTCATGAACTGTATATCCTCCCGAGACCCAGAAAAATTAACGTTTGAAAATTTCAGTAATTAAGA